CCTATAATTGTATTATATTTTTTTTTGAATTCAATAAAGATTTATTATTTGTGTGAAACTTGAACGAGTCGGTTCTGCTTCTTTTGTGTGTCCTCGTTTTTCGTTTATTTCGCAGTGGCTTCAAAAACGCTTGAAGCTCCATCATTTGGTGACCCCGACGTGATAGTTATTTTGACAAATATATTTCTTAGACATTTCGGTTGCAGTACATTGCTGCGTCGGCAGCACTGCATTAACCAATCTTTAGTGAAAATATTTTTTAAATATTGTTCAAATTTTTTAATAAAATATTTTGTGGAATTACCGTTGAACATTTCGTGCGGTACATTGCTGCGTCGGCAGCATTGCTTTACAGTTTTCAAATATATCGTTAGACATTTCGGTTGTAGTACATTGCTGCGTCGGCAGCACTGCATTAACCAATCTTTAGTGAAAATATTTTTTAAATATTGTTCAAATTTTTTAATAAAATATTTTGTGGAACTACCGTTGAACATTTCGTGCGGTACATTGCTGCGTCGGCAGCATTGCTTTTACAGTTTTCAAATATATTGTTAGACATTTCGGTTGCAGTACATTGCTGCGTCGGCAGCACTGCATTAACCAATCTTTAGTGAAAATATTTTTTAAATATTGTTCAAATTTCTTAATAAAATATTTTGTGGAACTACCGTTGAACATTTCGTGCGGTACATTGCTGCGTCGGCAGCATTGCTTTACAGTTTTCAAATATATCGTTAGACATTTCGGTTGTAGTACATTGCTGCGTCGGCAGCACTGCATTAACCAATCTTTAGTGAAAATATTTTTTAAATATTGTTCAAATTTTTTAATAAAATATTTTGTGGAACTACCGTTGAACATTTCGTGCGGTACATTGCTGCGTCGGCAGCATTGCTTTACAGTTTTCAAATATATTGTTAGACATTTCGGTTGCAGTACATTGCTGCGTCGGCAGCACTGCATTAATCAATTTCTTTATTGCTGTTTGATTAATTTTAACAATGGAAAGTGAGAAAAATAATGCACCCACTTTTTTGAAATTAAAATGCTCTCATCTTTTGAGGCAATTAAATGATTTAGAAATAAAGCTATCTTCCGATTTTTTAAATAATTGTCACGAAGTGCAACTACAACTTCTTGTTGACTCTCTGCAGCAACTCAACACTAAGTTTGATGAAGCTCAATCGAGTCTTGAACAGGAAGACTTTACTGAGCTGGAAAGTGATGTGCGAGGTAATTTTGAACAAACTTGCTTTAACATAAAATCTGCAGTAATGATAGAGTTGTCTAGTCGACAGACAAATATTAGAAATTCCACAAGTAAGTTTCTGACGAAATACCTTCTATTAACGTAAAGTACTCGCGCTCAAGGCTGCCTGAGCTTCAACTTCCCACTTTTAGTGGTAATATTATTGATTGGCCGCATTTTATTTCAATGTTTGGAACTATTGTGGATGATAGCACTGAACTTAGCAATCTTGAAAAGCTTCAACATTTGCGATCTTGTTTAAAAGGCTCAGCGCTGGATGCTATAAAGTCACTCGAAATTAGTGACACTAACTATGCTAAGTCACTTCATATACTTTCTAAAAGATTTGACAACAAGAGATTGATTTTTCAGGCACACATAAAGGAGATATTTGGTTTGCGACGTGTCGAACCAAATGCTGTTAGTGACCTTCGATGTCTTAGTGATAAAATCAATTCACATCTACATGCATTGACCACGCTGGGCAGCAAGGAGCAAATTGCTGATTGTCTGATAATACACCTCGTTTCGCAAAGACTAGATATTGCATCTCAAGCAAAATGGGAAGAGAAAGCTTCAATTGATACAATACCCACTTGGGATCAAATGGCAGATTTCATTGACAACAGATGTAAAACTTTGGAGCATATCAATTACGGCACAAAAATTAATGCACATATCAAGAACAAACAAGTCAATCATTCTTCAATGGTAAAAAGGGTGTTCATAACAACAAGCTCAAATGGCTGTACATTTTGTGACAACGAGACTCACTCTATTTACACATGTTCTAAATTTGCCAATTTATCTCCAAAGGTTCGTTTAGTTGAATCTAGAAAACAAGGCCTTTGTTTAAACTGTTTGAAGAAGGGACACTATTTAAAACAATGCAAGTCGTCGCGTTGTCGTGTTTGCTCAGGAACTCACCACACTCTTTTGCATTTGAGTAATTCCAATAACAGTAATAGTTTTCCCTTATTTTCAGATACAGTGCCGAGTGATAATCAAATAAATAACACGAAAATAAATGTGCAGTCTTCCTTGATTTCCACAAACGCTTCACAACAAAGCCAAAATTATCCTTTAAATGAATGCGTACTTCTGCCAACTGCTGTCATATTAGTAAAAAATCATGCTGGTGTTTTTGTACCATGTCGTGCTCTTTTGGATTCAGCATCACAACTGCATTTTATCACAAGAGCATTCGCCAACACACTTAAGCTTAAAACTACGAAATCAGTCACATTAGTATCCGGTATCGCGGATGGAGACTTTGTCGCTGATAGCACTGCTGAGCTATTAATACAATCCCGTTTTGGCGATTATTCCGCTAACATCACTGCAGTGATTGCTCCCAAAATAACCAATCAGCATCCGAGCACAAGCGTCAACATAGCTGATTGGAGTATTCCAAACAATCTTCCACTTGCCGATCCAAACTTTTATAACTCTCAAAGAATTAATGTTCTGATTGGTGCAACTCTCTTCTTTGATCTCCTGTGTATAGGACAAATCCGTTTAGCTCCTCGATTACCAGTGTTACAAAAAACCCTTCTTGGTTGGGTAGTTTCAGGAGGATGTCCATATTCTACAACATCATCATCTTCATTAGTCACATTTAAAGGTGAATTAAATTCGAATGATCAGTATCACCCTTTGGATCAACAAGTGAAAAAATTCTGGGAATTAGAAAGTTGTTTCGATCCTATAATCAAAATTACAAAAGAGCATTTAGATTGTCAAGACCATTTTCAAGCACATTTTTCTCGTTTAGTAACTGGTGAATACTCAGTTCGGTTACCAATCAAATTAGATGTTCAATCGCTTGGTGACTCATATCAACAAGCTGTACGCCGTTTTCAAAACCTGGAGCGTAAACTACAACGAAATGCTGATCTAAAGTCGCAATATAGTGCATTTATAAAGGAGTATTTGCATCTTAATCACATGTCACTATTGACTGATGAAGAATTAAGTCATCCCAAGTATTTTTTGCCACATCATTGCGTTATCAAGGAATCCAGTTCTTCTACAAAGCTTCGTGTTGTATTTGATGGTTCAGCAGTTACATCAACTGGGTACTCTTTAAATGACATATTAATGGCCGGTCCTACAATTCAACCAAATCTTATTGATTTACTTATTCGCTTTCGTTCTTTTCCTATTGCAGTAACTGCAGACATTTGCAAAATGTACCGTTGTGTTCGCATCACACCTCCAGATACTTTTTTACAATGTATTCTTTGGAGAGATGACCTGCAGGAACCACTGAAGGTATATAAACTTGATACTGTCACTTACGGCACAAAGCCTGCGGCTTTCCTGGCTGTTCGAGCTATGCAACAATTAGCGGTTGATGAATCATCAAATTTTCCTATTGGTTCCAAAATTACTCTTCGAGATTTTTATGTTGATGACTTAATTTCCGGTGGTAATTGCATTAATGATGTTCAAGACATTGTGAGACAAACTTCTGCATTGCTCAATAAAGGCAATTTTAAACTTAGAAAATGGTGTTCGAATCAATTAGCTGCTCTTGATGACATTCCTGAAGCCGACAGAGAGCCATTGCTCAATTTCGATGATGGCAGTGAGTTTACAAAAACCCTTGGTCTAATCTGGAATCCAACCGAAGATAAATTCTTATTCACCTTTGTTCCTTGTCAGGATTCAAAGCGTGTTACAAAGCGTTCTGTGCTTTCTGTTATTGCACGATTTTATGACCCGCTTGGTCTTGTTGGTCCATTGATATCAAAGGCAAAAATATTTTTACAGTGTTTGTGGAAGCATACACTAGATTGGGACGAGAGCCTTCCAAATCAACTGCACACCGCATGGACTGACCTCTACAATCGTCTACATATAACTCAAAAATTGGAATTTCCACGTTATGTCTCTTTACTTAATGCAGCACTCGAACTACATGCCTTTTGTGACGCTAGTATGAATGAATATGGTGTTTGCATCTATGTAATCTCACGGTTCGGAAGTTCTACGTCTGCTAATTTACTTTGTTCAAAGTCTCGAGTAGCACCTTTAAAAACACTGACAGTGCCAAAATTGGAATTATGTGCCGCAGCCTTATTAGCTCAACTAATTCATCAAATCTCAATGCTAAATATATTTAATGCTGAATTTCATTGTTGGTCTGACTCATCTATAGTATTATCTTGGATCAGATCTGAGCCGTCTACTTTCAACGTATTCGTGGCCAACCGAGTGAGCAAAATTCAGCATATGACTAAAGGCATGATATGGCATCATGTTCCCACCGATTTAAATCCTGCCGACATTTTGTCAAGAGGAGCGACTCCAGACGAACTCTTAACTTCATCACTTTGGAAATGTGGACCACCGTTTTTGCTTGACAATCGAAATACTTGGCCTGCAACTTTTTCCCTCTAGCATGACTTGCCTGAAAGGCGTAAGACTATTCTTGTTTCAACCGTAAAAATAACTGATATTTCAGTTAATTGTAAATTCATCAACACCTTTTATAAATTGCAACGTGTATTTGGGTATATTCACAAATTCATCACCAAAGACCGATCTGCTATCTTAACAACTAACAACATACTGCAAGGTACTGTCATATTAATTCGAATGGTTCAGAAGGTGAATTTATGTAATGATTATCACAACTTGGAATGCAAAAAACCTATCAGCTGCTCAAGTAAGTTACTTTCTTTATCACCTTTTTTAGAAGATCATGGACTGATTCGCGTTGGTGGTCGATTAAAAAACTCCAACCTAGACTTTAATGCACAGCATCCAATTATATTGCCCAAGCATCATCCGCTCACTGCTTCCATCATTAATCATTTTCATCGCAAAATGCTGCATGCAGGCCCACAGTCTTTGCTTGCTTCAATGCGTCTTCAGTACTGGCCGATAGGAGGTAGAAAGCTAGTATCAAAAGTCATCAACCAATGTATTATATATTTTCGAGCCAAACCAACAACTGCAAAGCATATCATGGGACAATTACCTAAGGATCGTGTTCATCCTACTCGTGCTTTCGTCATTACTGGCACGGACTTTTGTGGTCCTTTCTATTACAAGGCCGAAACTCGCAATAAGTCTCCAATCAAATGCTATGTTTGCTTATTCATTTGCTTTGCAACCAAAGCTGTCCACTTAGAATTAGTCAAAAATTTAACAACGTCAGCATTTCTAGCAGCACTACAACGTTTCGTTTCAACTCGTGGTAAAACTAAAATTATTTGGTCAGATAATGCTACAAATTTTTGCGGTGCCAAAAATCAACTGGCCGAACTTAGAAGACTTTTCTTCTCTCAAAAACATCGTGAGCAGCTACAACAGCAATGTCTTAGTGACAGCATTGAATGGAAGTTCATATCTCCTGGTTCGCCACATTTTGGTGGCCGGTGGGAAGCTGCCATAAAAACAGCGAAATGGCACTTCTGCCGAGCAATTGGAATAACAATTTTAGATTTTGATGAACTACGCACACTGGTTTGTCAAATTGCTGCCATCATTAACTATCGTCCGCTCTTCCCACTTTCAGAGTGTCCCGAAGATCTTGATGTTCTCACACCTGCCCACTTTCTAATTGGTGCTCCATTAACATCTATCATTGAGCCTGACCTAACAATCTTGAATTTCAATCGACTTGATCATTGGCAGCGTATCTCACACATACAACAAGTTTTTTGGAAACGTTGGAGCACTGAGTATCTTACATTGTTACAAGAACGAACAAAATGGCGAAGCTCTACTCCTAATATGTCTCTCGGTGCAATAGTGCTTTTAAAGGATGATAATCTTCCACCACTGCGCTGGTTATTAGGTAGAGTTATTGAAATTATACCTGGTCCTGATGGTGTTGTACGTGTTGTGGTAGTGCGTACCAAAAATGGGGTTTTCAGACGTGCCGTGACAAAGCTTTGCATCTTGCCTGTAAATGATCTCTCTTGGAACGCGACCGTTCCAATGGGGGGAGAATGTTCATGAAATGATTGCTATTATTTTATATAAAATATTTAATTTTTTAATACTTTATTTTTGGTTGCACTTGGCAACCCTATAATTGTATTATATTTTTTTTGAATTCAATAAAGAATTATTATTTGTGTGAAACTTGAACGAGTCGGTTCTGCTTTTTTTGTGTGTCCTCGTTTTTTCGTTTATTTCGCAGTGGCTTCAAAAACGCTTGAAGCCCCAACAGTAATTTTTATATATATCAATTAAAAAGTGCCAAAGGATTAACAGTGGTTGTAAGAGGAATAGAACCAGAAACTGCAGAAATTAAAGAAGCACTTGCAGAAAAGGATTTAAAACAAAATCTGTATACAACATTAAAAACCGCGATAAAGTTTCGACACCGCTATATAGAATAGAGCTTGAACCAGAAGGAAAGGAAATCAAATCGAACGAGGCTTACCAAATTTATTCCCTACAATTCCTACTCCACAGAAAAATATCAGTAGAAGAATCGCATAAGCGTAAAAACCCGGTGCAGTGTACTAATTGTCAGGAATATGGACATTCGAAGTCCTATTACACACTCCGCAGTGTTTGTGTTGCATGTGGCGACTTTCACCGCATTAAGGATTGCACATCAAATAAGAAGGACCCAACAAAAAAAAAATGCGGAAATTGTGGAGGTAACCACACCGCTAATTATAAAGGATGTGTAGTATACACTACCGAAAAACAAAGAAAGTTTCCAGCATTGCGTCCCCGCTCTCAGTCCCAGCAATCTCACTACAACCTATACAAACGTGATCTCAGCCAAATGCTCCATGCGACTCCAGCAATAATTGTACACGAATGTCATATGCAAACGCTGTTATAGGATTTACTGGCCCAAGCAACGTCCAAAATGAAAGCTCTACTAAACCATCTCCAAATATCAAAAACATAATCCAACTGTTTATGGAAAATATGACACAATTTATGAACACCATGCAAAATATGATGCAGGGAATAATTCAAAATCAAAATATCCTACTTTCAATCCTATCCAAACCATGAGTGCAATCAAAATTTGCTTCTGGAATGCTAACGCCTTAAGCCAACATAAAAACAAACTTGTATTGTTTTTACAATCACATCAAATTGACGTCATGCTTATCTCAGAAACCCATTTTAATGAGAAAAGCTACTTTAAGATATCTGGTTACATACTCTACGACTCGAAACACCCCAGTGGAAAAAATAAAAAATAACATTAAACACTTTTGGCACTCTGGCCTGATATATAAGTTAAACACTATCCTGCCACAGCAATATTGTAAACTACTGGAATCGTATATTGGCGAAAGGTACTATCGAGTTAAACTACTTGACGCGTATTCGCAATTATATCCTATAAATCGCGGGGTCCCTTAGGGGAGTATACTAGGCCCATTTCTGTACCTGCTGTACACATATGATTTGCCAGTGAACCCATGATGTATTGTTGGAACTTTTGCAGATGACACGGTATTAATGGCTACAGGTCCAAACAACAAAGTGTCTACCACTAAGCTTCAAATTGCTCTTCAAGAAATTGAACAATGGACAAATAAATGGAAGCTGATAGTAAACAGTTCAAAATCTAATCATGTAGACTTTACTAACAAAAGAGAAAATCAAATTTCATTATTTCTAAATAGCGTAAAAATTCCAGTTGCAAATTCTGCGAAATATCTGGGTATGAGTCTAAATGCCAAACTGAGATAGAAGGTACACGTCAAGAAAAAATTAAATGAGCTAAAAATAGGATACAAAAAGTTAACTTAGCTTATTGGAAGGAGATCTAAATTATCTCAGCAAAACAAGCTTATGATCTATAAACAAGTCTTCAAGCCGGTCTGGCTCTATGGTGTCCAAATCTGGGGTTGTGCGAAAAAACATATAATAGATATGATGCAAAGATTTCAAAACAAAGCAATCAGGGATGCAGTTAACGCTCCATGGTACGTGCGAAATTCTGATCTACATCGTGACCTTGAAATACCTACTGTCAAGCAAGAAATTCAGAAGGCTGCTAAAAAACATTATGACAGGCTGAGACAACACTTAAACAGCACCATTCCAGCGCTACTTTGTGATGTCACTCACAGACGCTTATGCCGCTTCAAACCTAATGACCTTTTGAGGCGTTTCAACCAGCAAGAAGATGACTAGTTCGTATCTATATGCTCACCCTAGATAGACTTAGGTAAACTTACTTGTAATAAAAAAAACCTCTTGTTAGTCAATATGACTAGTTGTTGTAAATTTAAACTCTTCATTTTGTTTAAATATAGGAGGAGTGGACTCTTTCAACTAACGCACCAATTTCTTTATAAGATTTCCCATCTAAGAATAGTTTTATAAATATTTTTCGCTTCCCAACAGAAATTTCTTCGCCTTGTTGTAATTCTCTGAAATGTGATGCAAAAACGCAGCTTAACAACGCAATACTAATTGCTTAGACAATATAAGCAAAATCCACGAAAAACAATATAACATAACGATAATCGTAAAATCTTGCAGTTCAGGCAAATACATTATTGAAGACAATAAATTATAGTTATGTTTAAAAAAAAAATTGGTTAAAAATATTAAAAAATGGTCGAACAATTTGAGTTAAAAGATTGATTTTAAAATTTTTTTTGGGGTGTATGCAGATATGTGCGAGAGACTGTATATATAAGCATTGAAGGTTGTATGAAGCAAGTGAGGGTTGTAAAGCAGCCTTTGATGGTTACCGAATGAATAAACTGTGTTAAAAAATTAACCAATAATTTTTTTGCGAAATACTTAATAATAATAATGTAAATGATGACCTAGGTCTATGGTAAAGACGGTACGAACATTTAAACATTAAAAATCTAATAGAATTGAAATACAGATCAGAAATCTATAAACTGCCTACTATTCCTTAACTGCAAACGTAATATGAATGCATTTTAAACGTTACAATGTTAATCAAAAGATATTTTAGATGTGATCCACAGTAAAGTATGTCGGTCAATAAATTTGGTAAATTCATTGAAAGTCCAGATGTTTTGTCACTTTTGTACATGCAAATTTGCAATATACATATTTTAGTTTACTTTACAACAAAATCAAAAATTTTAAGTATTTTCAAGTTATTTTAAATCATGTATGAATTTTACACAACCAAAAAATTTAAAATATTACGCAGTAATAATGGCACTGAAAACGAAAATAAACAATTTGATGTTGGTCTTAATGAAAATGGTATTCTTCGGTATTGCAGATAATCAAAACATCGTTATTAAAAATGGAAGGTATCATGTTTTAACGCAGATATCGACGATAATTTCTAAGGTAAAGTAATTAACCAAGCAACATACGTAAAATATCGTTCACCAACAAAATCACTAAAAATCTTAGCGATTCGGGGAAAAAGGGTCTTTTCTGATTTATGATTTTAATAAATCCGAGAA